TTTTTAAAACGCAAAAGCTTTTATTAAAAGAGGTAAAACAGAAAACCAAAATTGCCAAAAATGGCCCAAAATTGTCCCCGGGACTTTAAAAATTCCAAAAATTTCCGGGGGGGGGCCCCCCCGCCCCCCCCCCCCCCCACAGTGGAAGGGGGCACCCCCCTCTTACACCTACCTCGACTTGACACTGCGTGCAAAGATCTTTAGTCCTTGCTATTGACTTATTTGTCCCAGCTACTTCAAATCTTAACAAAAACCCTGGATATTTGGTCTTGGCCGAGATAGGGGAGCATAACCAGCGAAGTTGAAATTACTTTTTATAAGGTAAAAAAGGAAAGAACTTACATAGCCTGGGTTGATGTGAAAAAACTAGAGAGTAAATAAGAAAATGACTATTATACTTTGCTAAAGGAAATCCGAGCGTAACAGATTGACCAATAATAAGGATTTACGACAGATACTATCTCTAAAATGACTAACCTACGTCTCAAGCGGAAATAATCACAAAACAGAAAAATGATTGTTTATATAATGTTCAGTGGTGTGACGGCACAGGCACTCAACGACTGTTTTCTGTAAAATATCTATTGGGAGAAGCAAAAATTGCCTGGACCTTTCTACAGCTTGAGGAAGGCTAAAAATTTCTACATGACCATTCCATTCATGTACAATTTTCGAAGGTTATCTAATAAATTCCCTAAGATTTTCTAAAGTAAAATTTTTCACATTTCACTCTCCAGGTTAAGCTATTGTTCATAGAAAATGGAAACCTAAAATTTTTCGGATTCGAAAAATTATGTGATGAGAGAGGAATCAGAAAAATTCTTACTTTTGCAAAACATAACATTGCATCTAAAATTTCAGGAAAACAATACTGAAGCCCTTGTAATTTCAAAAATGCTCAATTTTTTTCCCATCCTTGACAAATGAGCCAATATGCTTGTTTTTCCAGTAAAATCGTCTGTGTAGTTATGTTCTAATAGGAAACCGCGTGCGTGTCAAAAGGTCGGGGTTGGCCGTGGGGTTGGGAAATGCTCGGCCCCCGGGCAGCGCAAGATTTGCAAATGCCCAGCAGTAGCAGGGGGGGCTCTGCACAGCTGGAATTGACCGATGCATTACCACACTTCCATAATACCAAACTTCCACACTTCTTCCACAGTTTTCGTTCTAAAAGTTAAGTTGAATTTATTTTCCTCTTAGTTGATATGTAATCATTAATATCGTTTAGTGTATCAGTAGTCTCTTGTCATAACTGTTGTCATTTATTATTAATAATACCATTAGTTTATCAGTAGTCTCTAGTGATTGTTGTCAATTTTAGTTTCTTTAGTTCTCTTGTTACTTTTAGCTGTATTTAGTTGTATTTATTAACTGTAAACATGACACGCCTAGATTAGCTTCGCTACCCGCAGGCATATTATTGTACTTTTACCTCAAAACACAATAAAATAAAATGTATATATGTATGTATGTGGTCCACACTCTGGCACTTTGGAACATAAATTATGCTATTAGATGTATATTACGAGTCACTGCCCTTGTTCACTTGCATTAAACATTCCTTTTGGATGACGTTTATCACAGGCCAATGCGAGAGCTCCATGTATGTGCGTGTGCTGCAAATGAATCCAGCCTCTGACTAAAGGATAAC